CCTTCCAGTATTAATGTTATAATGAAATAGCCTGAGGAATCAATCAAAGGCATTAAGGGATATGCCCCTCCCCTTCCACCCCTCATCTGCTGTAGTTGGCTCTATAAACAATTCCTAATAAGTAACAGGAGTTTATTGTTTTATTTTCAGCCCTGGCAGGCGAGGTTGTGTCACTGTCAGACTCTTGCAGGCCCTCATCCAGTGACAACTGCATTGACAACACGTTCTATTCCACATTGATTTTACAGTTAAGGACCTGATTGTGATATATAGAGATTTTAAGAATTCAGCTGAGAGGCTGACTTTTGCCTTTTATCATTCCATTAAAATTTTATAACCATCTTTTTCATGTCATTTCACCCATGAATTCTTACTTTAAAAAGTGATTGCTGCTACTGGGTGCGTACCTTTTTTTCATATTCAGAGCTTTTTATTATATTAGCAAACTACTCCAATTATAGTTAATAGTTGTGTTTTACATAATTGTGGTGACCCAGTCAGCCAAGCAGGATCACGCTAGATGATGGTGTCTTCACAGACAGAGACAGACTGCCAAAGTATCTATTCATCTAACAAAATCATGAGATAAAACTGTAATTCTTCGTTTTCCAACAGGGCCAATTCCAAGTTCTCCAGAGTGTTGTTTGTCCTGGATACTCAGACTAGAGTTCAGTAACAGGTAGTTTGAAATCAGTACAAGAATGAACCATCCACTTCATAGAACATCAGGCAGCCCATGACCTTTTGGGTCACCATTTCAGAGCTATTTCCTTACCTAACCATGAAACTGAATGGCCATGGGTAGGCAAAAAAGCAGGGGAGCGGAAGTGACTTCCAACTTCCTGCCAGCTTCCCCATTGACTTTCCTTGTAGGAAGCTGGCACAGAGCACTGGAAATGCCAATTAAATGACTGTGGCTGACATGGCAGGGTGGCAGCACTGAAGTAGCCACAATTTTGCCAAAACCTGCAAAACCCATAGTTTCCAGATTTTGGACACATTCTGTAAATTAGCTCAATTGAGGTACCTTGGTTTAAAAATGGTTGTCCTATATGATGCACATTTTGCCCAATTGACAGTTACAAACAATCAAAAAGATACAATAGTTTGAGTAACATATAGTTAGGATCTCTACAAGCAACCAAGAAGGATAGTTCACTTCACCTGTTCCAGGCAAGAGTAGAAATTTCTGAACAGGACTTCTGGGTTTAATCTAAGATATATAGTACAGCCCTCAGATTCTCACAGAGGACTATTCCAGCACCAAAATCACTCAGATGGGTTCTTTAAATGGGAAAAGCTCCCAGGCATAACAAGCTGGTCTTGTTAGACTTGATTCCTTGAAGTAATATATTTGAAGTATCAGCCTGTCCAGTGGTGGGATTCAAGTAATTTAACAACCGGTTCTCTGCCCTAATGATTTCTTCCAACAACCAGTTTGCCAAACTGCTCAGAAAGTTAACAACCGGTTCTCCCGAAGTGGTATGAACTGGCTGAATCCCACCACTGTCCCTGAACAAATCATATAACATGCACACTCCTCCATTTTGTTATTCTTTAACTTTTTGCACAAAGATGTCTGAGGCAGAGTCCCAGACTGGGTCTCTTATTCACAGTTGTATCTTTGTAGACAACAGTCAGGAGCTGTGGGTGCTAAGACTTGCCTTTTCTGCATCTACTGTAATAAGTGTATCATCCTATTCCTCTTTCATGTATGAAAATGATTCCTAGGTCAAGGGTGTGAGATGTTTGAATTAAGTTATCTTTTTTTAAGTGTTCCCATTTTAAAAAGAGAGCAGTACAAATGAATGTAAAAAGGTATCCTTTCCTTTTTAATGTTTTTTTTGGGGGGTGGGGGGAGCAAGGCAAAGTAAAAAATTAAGTTAAACCTCTGTTCTCATAAGTTATAGCAGATAATGTTAAAAGGGCTATGTCTAAACTCAACAGGGGTTTGTAATACAAGTTCATCTCATTATCCCAAATGTTATACCTATAATGCTAGCAGTAGGGATGAAAGCTTTATCTTACTTATCATAAGAGAAAACAAACTGCTTGGTTATTTTCTTCCTGCAGATAACCGCAGTCCAATTGTCCAGATAGATGCCTAATTAGTAAGTTGTTGACCAGCCCTGTAGAAAATGAAGCTTGAAAGCTGAATTGCTTTAAGTTGACTTTCCAAAAATCATTATCACCTTCTGTACCTTAAATCTTAACAAGATATTTTCCTTTTTTTAAAAAAATTCAAAATGATTTAAATCTAGTTATCATTTTTGGAACTATGGAAATGAAAAAGAAACCTCATCCTAATACAAATATGAAGATCCAAATACTTTCTAAAACTTTCTGGAATAATTTTTAATATCACTTGAATATTTTAACCACCTTCTAATCAGTGGTGGGATTCAAGTAATTTAACAACCGGTTCTCTGCCCTAATGATTTCTTCCAACAAGTAGTTTGCCAAACTGCTCAGAAAGTTAACAACCGGTTCTCCCGAAGTGGTGCGAACTGGCTAAATCCCACCACTGCTTCTAATATGTAACTTTGCAATTTATAGAACCACTCACCTAGAATCTGTCTTCACAACAATTTCACAGAAATTTACATAGGGGTAATTGCTGCTATAAGCAAGATATGCACTGATTTATCAGGGGGAAAAAAGTAGATATTGATATAATATTTCATGACTAGCTTACTTTTCCCCTTCTTTCAATTGGCTGTAGAATGTAACTCAATGTCTCTGGCACTATTGCCTTTGAAAATGTGAACATCTGATTCTATGAAACAAACAAATAAAAAGCCTTGAAAACTCTTTTAAATGATTACGGTACTCAAGAATATATTTTCAAAAGATTTTCAATAAAATCTAGTGTTAAAACAAAATCTCATAAACACCAGAGATGCTGTGGGCAGAATAGGTGGGCATAGCATTCTTGATCCCTTGCAACGATTTATAGATTTCACAAGATGCTTTATAAGAATGCTAAATGTTCTGGAATTACAGCTGTTACTGATCAGTGATTGAGCCAGATTTGTGTTTTTGCACCATGTTCTTGCTTGTACCTAGAGAGCAGTAAAGCCTCAATATAATAAAAAGCACCTGCATTTTAAATGAAATTTCAATTGAAAAACTTAACAGCCCTTCAAATTGCAGAATTTAACGCAGCCCACTAAAGCTTAAATAACGTTTTGCCTCCACAGGCTGAGGGGTTTTGCATTCAAGGTGACTTGATTGTGTCGCATGGTGAAATTATTTACAATTAAGGGATTTCTCGAGGGGGGGCCGTTGCCGAGTATTTGCTGTTCCACGACACCTATGCGGGCATATGGTTCGTCTTTTTCAGTATTCATGGAAGCTCCTGAACCTTTATGATAATTGAATCTGTTAGAGTGCTGAGTGGAGCAAGCATAAAACCTGTTAACCTAAAGGTCAGATCTGTGCATTGTTTATTTATCAGTAGGTGAAAGAGCTAAATCGGCAGCTTCTGTCACAGTCACAGTAAAAAATCACCTACAATATTAACAGGGAGTAGATAAATTGCAAAAAATGGATTAGAATGATAAACAGAAGAGAGAATAAATATTGCATAGGTAACAAGAAGCATAGGAATAGCTTTACTGGCCTATGAAACATGCAGGCTTGTTACAATGGTGTGTTGAAAGTAATTAAGAATGTGTTCTGAAAGAACAGCAGCAAAAGTTAAAAAAAAAGATTCTTGCCAGTTTCATATATTTTCTTAAAATCATGAATTAATTCATTAAATTCATTAATTAATTCAGATGAGTCTATTTGGCCATGGAGTGGATATAGCAAGACAAGCTGTTTTTCCCTTTCACTTGTCCCCTCTGCTTATCTTCTCCCAAGGGTTTGGCTGTTCTTCTAATATAACTGGGGGAACAGAATGGGGAAGCAGAAGGGAAATTCTCTTGAGAGAAGTTCTTTCATATATTTTAGCCTAGTTCTGCACCTCCTTTTAGGTTTCCATAGAACAATGGATAGAAGAAAGGTGCTTTTGATATCAGAAATAATAGAGTAAGATCGTATGAATGTTAAAAGATCTGGGAAGTTTCCTGTTGCATCATACCAAACTTTCACTTAGGAAAGATGTTTCATTTATACTAGCCTTTAAGATCTCTAACCCTCAAAGTCAAACAAACAGTTCTTCTCTGACACTATTTTTCCATTGTAGTTCATGTTAGTAGCATACCAAAATTGAACACTGGAATTCCTGATCTTGTGCTTTATTTTAATTATGGGAGGAAGCATGCTATATTGATTCTTAATTAGAAGGAGTCTGTATTCAGCAAAAGATTCTAATTGTTGGACGGGTCCTCTCACCCATGGGAGGCTTTTGATTCAGCAGACTTTTTTTCACTGAAGAAATGGGAGAGGAGTTGACATTCACCCACTTGTCACTTGTACCTTCAGTTCTCCATCTTTCCCTAAAATCTGGTCATGGAAGTTGGGAATTACAATGGAAAATCAGAATTGCTTTCTGCCAGTGGCAGTGTTCTGAGCAGAGTCCCTAAAGAATACATTCCACTAGCAGAATCCATAATGTATTCCTCTAAATCATTGTAAAAGTGGGCTAAATTAATACTCTGTAGAATCACTGACTATAATGGTTGAGTTAAGCCAGGATTAGCCATTGGGCTGGTTTATATACTGTTAAATCATAATGGATGGGTTCACCCATCATATTAAGCCCAAACTGAACAAATTGCATTATATTATAATGTTATTATAAAATGAGACCAATGGGATTCTCAATTCACCTGAGAACTAAATGATAGGTTTCAGAGAATAAATAGTTACATAATCTCTGTTCGCTATTGCATTCATTACAGTAAAGGGAACGTGTGGGTGGTTTCTCTCCATTGCTTATATTGTATTTAAGAAACAAAGGTATTTTCCAGTAAAAAAGTTTCATTTTTGCATTATATGGCTGCACATTAGGAGCAATTATCTTGTTCTCCCCTGCAACCCTTCTTCTGTTGTAGAACCAGGACCTATTGACCCACCACTAATCTTGGAAGTGAAATCCAGAGAAACAACCATTTCCTGGCAGCCTCCTTCAAGGCCAAATGGCATTGTCACCCACTACAACATCTATCAAAACAACCAGCTGCACACTACTGTTCCAGGAGCTAGATCAAAATATGTTGCATCTTTCTTGCACCCATATACAGTTTACCAATTTCAAGTAGAAGGATGCACTTCCAAAGGGTGCTCTCTTTCCTCTGAGAGCCTACCTGTACAAACCCTTCCAGATGCACCTGAAGACATCCCTGCTCCAGAATTATACTCAGACACACCAACATCTGTGCTTGTGTCATGGCAATCTCCTCTTCATCCAAATGGACCAGTTGAAAACTTCACAATAGAGAGGAGAATAAAGGGAACAGAACAAGTGTCCACAGTAGCCTCTTTTCCTTCCAATTGTTCCAAGAGTTATCTAGACCAAAGTACTGGTCTTCGCCCTTGGAAAAAATATGAATACAGAATATTGGCAAGCACTTTTCAAGGTGGCATTAACAGCAGTTCTTGGGTAGAAGTCATCACCAGGCCCTCAAGACCTGAATACATCCAGGCTCCTAAGGTGCAAGCATTAGATCCATATACTGCCCAGGTTTGTTTAGCCTTATTTTTATTCTTCCCAATTACTAGAATGATTAAAAAAGGGGCTCAGAATTATGCGTGTCTAAGAAAAGGATGACTCTGAACACTAAATTGAATGACACCAAATTGGGTAGAGGAAAGAAGCTGGCAAAGGAAAGGCTGAATTGAAAATAAGCCAGATCAGGCCAGGGGTTGTTTCAAGAAAAATTATCCCAGTCTCAAAAATTCTCCTTTGGGAAAGACAATCAGGCAATGAATTGTAATGCTGCTGATTTATTAATTCTCAAATCCCTCTTTCCTTCTGATCATATGTCCCAGAAAGATCACATATAGACACAAACTAGATAAACTATCATGAGGGGATATGGAAAAATGCATACATGTAAAGAAGATACAATACGCTGTTTCATTGCACATAACAAATTTACTCATAAATTAGATAAAAGGATTGGAAAATATTCAAGAAATTATACTCTACATGCTTTTTCCACTTTATTTCTTAATATTAATTAATTGGTGATTTCACATAGGCAACTTCTAGAGACTTCATTGGTTAATGTAGCTGCCATGCACTAAGCTCTTTCAACTTTGTTTCTGAAAATTTATATAGCCACCCAACTCACTCTCAGTGACTTCGGGCAGCTTACAAACATAAAAATATCATCTAAAAAACAATAAGCCATGGTGGCACAGTGGTTAGAATGCAGTATTGCCGGCTAATTCTGCCAACTGCCAGAAGTTCTATCCTCATTGGCTCAAGGTTGACTCAGCATTCCATCCTTTTGAAGTTGGTAAAATGAGGAGCGAGATTGTTAGGGGTAGTATGCTGACTCTGTAAATCACTTAGGGCTGTAAAGCAGTGTGAAGCAGTATATAAGTCTAAGTGCTTTTGCTATTGTTATGAATAGCAATAACCTCCAACCCCCCTTGGCAACAACAATTAATAAGTCACTTGATGGGCTCCACTGCACTCTGGTTTCTCCAGGTCCATTGGCACAAGTAGGTCTTCAGTGCCTTGCAAAGTTTCTGTGTGTCAAAGTGGGGGGCAATCTTATCTCTGTTGGGATGATATTCCATATTGAGGTAGCCAGATGTATCTCCTTAAGAGAGGGGACTCATAACATTTCCTGCCTCCTCACTCAGGTGGGTGGGTAGCTGTGACTGGGAAAAGACAAAACTTCAAATAACCTGGTCCCAAACCATGCAGAGTTTTAAAACGAATAACCAGCACCTTGAATTGGACCCAGAAGCAAATTGGCAGCCAGTGCAGTTCTCACAGGAGAGATGACACATGTGCTCATCTAGTCTGCACAAAACTATATGTGCTGCTGCATTTCACACCACAACTGTTTTGTGTCGAGCAGCACATTACATGATAACTGACCTTAATCCACTGTTCTGCATCAACCTGCAACCAAAGTAATCCAAATGACTTCTTGTTCCCATAGAAGTTTCATCTGTTATTCTGTTCAGACTAATTAGTTACTATCTCCATTGATTGTTCACATTTTCAAGTTTCCTGTGATACATTTTGATGGGTCTAGGATCAAAGTATGTCTCCTTGCATGTCAGAGGTTCACTGATATCTCACCCCATACTGATAAGTGACCTGACCCAGCATCTTCATGTAGATGTTAAGGAGCAAGGGAGGGAGAGAGAAATGGACCACATGAGAACAGCTGCTGGGTCAACTTCTCCTTCCCTCACCGTACTGACTAGAACTGTCTGCTTAGGAAGGAATGGAGCCACTGCAATTTCATAATCCTCATGTTTTCCCTTGAACTCACAGATAGTTTATAAAGATGCCAAGATTGATGTATTGAAGGCAGATGAAGGCTTACTTCTAACATCCAGACCCAGGTGCCATTCATCCACCAGAGCAATGTGGTTTTCATTCCATAATCTTAGCTAACCCTGGCTACAAGGAATTGGGATAATCCATTTCATCTTTAGCAGAAATCTCGCTACTTTTTCAAGAACTTTCCCTAGTTCATTAGCTATTGGGCAGATTAAAAGTTTTCATAAATTAAAAAAATAAATAAACTAAACTCCAGAAAGGTTCTATCTTGCACCTGGGAGCAATAGAGAAAACAGCTCTCTTGCATGTGACCCAAAAATCAGTCTTTTGATATTAAGAAGTATCTATAACAGCACCTTTCCTGGAAACACTGGTTCTTGGATTGGACAGTGCTGACACAGGTGGTGCCTTAGATTTTTCTGCTTAAAATTTTCAGTTTTCTGTTTCTCCAATTTTAGGTTTCTATTAAATTCAAGATGTATTGACAGAGAATGCCCACTATATGATATTACTCTGGACATCATCGCCCTTGCTAGAGTTTGATTCATCATCCTATTGTAACTTTTCTTCATCAGCTCCCTTGCTGCACACTAAGGTCTCCTTAAATTCAACAGATTACTTTCCTGTTGTTTTAATTGTTATAATTTAATCCCAAATGTAGCAAATTGAGTCTGTTTCTCTATTTTTACCATTTTAATCTATTTGATAGTATCTTAGATATTTGTGTTGTATTGTGCTTCAAGCTTCTTTCTCGTATGAAATATTTTAAATAGTACTGTGGGAATATTTAATTTTAACCAAGAAAATATATAGATGCTAAATATAGTTTTTGTTTTCATCTCTGATAAATCAATACATTAAGAAAACTGTTTTGGAGGACTGCCTCGGAAATTTTCAATTATTCATATCTTTCATTTGGGAATGAACTCTAGAGGACAGGATAACTACTATTGTTTTGGCTTACATACAAACTTCATTCAGGGGAAATTAGTGTAACTAAACAAGAGGGATTTTTGTAGCTTAGAAGTCTCTTTTGTGTAAATATACACATGCTTCCATGGATTCAGTCTTGTACTAGTGCCAAAAAACATTGGTACAGTAGCTTGTTCACTGGAGCACAAAACAAAGGACGTTTGCGTAAGGATAGAGATTATCCACTAGAATCATTGACACTGTTACTGCTAAAATTGTTGTTGCTGTTTTAGGATATTTATTCCCTGTGTCAGTAGAATTGTGTATGTCAAGCACACACACACATACACACAGAATGCTCAGAAAGCATTGGAGAATATGAATTTAAACAGAAACAGAATTTAAACAGAATTTTTAAAAATGTAGTTTGACATATTAGCAAGCAATAATAGTTTTAAATGAGAAATGTCTTGAAACATCCTCTTAACTCTAAATCAGATTAACTAAATTTATGCTGCAATGGTAAATATTATGTTCAATCATTATGTCAGAATTCATTACAATACATATATACAGTAGAATACTTTCTCTGTCACTGGATGGAACTCTTAATAATTGGTTAGTGGTATGTGGCATTTGTACCTGGAGTACACACAGCTTTTCTTGAGATTGCGTGGTAGCCAGGTGCTTAGAAAAATATGTGTTTAAATTAAGAAAACATTAAAGAGGCAGCAACAAGATGCAACACATATCACTGTCCTGTCACCATCTCTGTTGCAAAGGAAAAGTACTCACCAGATGTACAGAGTGGCAACAGCTTTGTACAGTTATATCGTGATTAATGAGTGTTTGAATAATTCAATATTCAGTTTAGTGTGAATTATAAATTGATACCAAGTCGTGTTTAATGCAACACAAAATTCAGTTAATTGCACAGTCGAGGCTAGTACATGTTCAGTTGCAGTTGAGATTTTAGATGCTGCTAATCTTCATGTGTCTAAAATGGAGAAAAGAAAGATTCTGTCAGAGGAAAATAGTACCAGCTCAGAAATGAGGAATCTCATTATTACATTACAGGAAAAAAATGATATAATTCAAGTCATGAATATGGTCTTAGCATCACTAAAATATGATGAGATGTTGGAAATCCTGAATCTACAATAGACATGCAGGGGAAATAAAAGAAAAAGGTAAAGTTGCACCAGATCTTTGTGGTTGGCAAACATATACCAGTGATGCAAAATTGGAATTGAGCATCTTTTAAATGTATGGATTGAGGACTGCATCAATATTTCATAAATGTATATTAAAACATTTGTAGTTAAACATTTTCATTGCCTATTTCAATCAAGATAGAAGCAATTACCACATATTTCCATAGAAATATCACTTTCTTGTGTGCAAATTCACACTTTGAATAGTGCAAATTCAAATAATGCAACCATTTTGTGGGATTATCACACTAAGTGAGACATAGCTGAATTTATCTTTCCAAATCAGTCTCCTGGAGAAGGAAGACCTCTTCACTGAAAGCTTTGGATCATAATCTACCACGCAGGTTGGTTGATAGTCATTTTTTGACTTCACAGCATTGATGAAATCCTGCTGGTTCTGTCTGGCTCAAGCGAGCCGGTAGTGCTGGCTGCATGTGGTTTGGTGAACCGGTAGTGATGGCAGCACAAGGCTCTGTCCACCCGCCCGGACATCATTACTTCTGGGTTTCTAACCCTCTGCGCATGTGAAAGCCTTCTGTGCATGCGCAGATGGTCAAAAATCGGACATGACGATGGCACGCGCACTTCTGAACCAGTAGGGAAGGTAAGTAGATTTCATCCCTGCTTCACAGTCTAGAGCACAGAGGCAGTACTTTTTTATAGTATTTTAATTATTGTTAATAGTTTCCCATTTGACAATTTGTCCCAAATTATCTCGTATTTTCTACCTATGATATTCAAACCCTTGTACCAATGTGAACCTTATTTTTAGAATCTCTGTGCAAAATAAACCGATTAGGCTGCCCTAGAACCTCCTCCTCACTGAAAAGGCTCCATAGTTATATAAGAAAGTTTCAATTTTGTTCAACCAAATCTAAGGCCCAAATTAAACCATGTAAAAACATGGGAGGCTTTCCTATACATAATCTTCCCTCTTGAATGAGGGAGAGGTAGTGGCTGATTTAGAAAACAGTTTGCAGTGGTTTTACCTTGTTTATTAAAGTTCCCTAAAATACAAAGAGTGCTCCTCTTTCACAGTTAGTAGTCTCAGTTTTGTTGTTGTCCAAGGGAACAGTATACCTGCTT